GTGTTTGGCAGTCTCATTATCTTTATTGCATATTCTTCATTTTTGTCATATTTACATTTTGAAGGAAAATCACACATTGACATTTTCTAGTGGGAAGTGACTGGTCCTGAGCAGCAAACAGAAGCCTTCTGTTTTACTTTTCAGGCCAACCGATTTCATCCAAGATAAGGACTCTGCGGGGTTGCTGATCTTCTCAACACACTGCACATAAACCCGATGCAGTGGTCGTTTATATTGCCTCTCCTAGAAATAGTCTGGGCCGATTTGATATGGCACTTCGCTTGGTTGGCACTCATTTCTGTACCGTCCAGCAGTACAGAACCATCAACAAAATCAACGCTACATTGAGATTATGTCCCACATCCTTGTTAAAGGCTCGTTTAAGAAAACTGTGGAATGCCTTGTTTTCATTTTATTATTAATTTTATTATTATTATTATTATTATTTTATTATTATTAGTAGTAGTAGTAGTAGTAGTAGTATTAGTATGAGTAGTAGTATCAATAGTAGAAGCAGTTGTGGTATGTTAATGAAACGCTACCCTAAGTTTACACACACACACACACACACACACACACACACACACACACACACACACACACACACACACACACACTCCTGCTATACACGCACATTCACGATTACATACATACACGCACAGAGCAATTTTTACATGTACATTCACACCCTTATAAAGACACACCTACGCGTACAGCTATCCGGAGCCTACACATATATAGATGTTTAACAAAGAGAATTATTCCCCTCAGGTTGAACGAGAATGCTAGACGCGTTGCAATATACAGCCTCTGGGCTAATACGTGTTGACAAATCTAGTTGTCGTCTACTGCGATGAAACATTTAGCCTTACCACTTGTATATTCTCAGCTAGAGACAAGTCGGTCTGTCGAACCCTGTTGCCTGTCTGGGAGGCCGGTCGGGCCTTGATTATCAACCTATATATGTGTGAAGCTTCCCAGGATATGTCCACAGACAGCGAGACTGATCTAGACAGAGTCTTTCAAAACTTTGATGATGGAACATTTTTATCTCCTCTGGGAGAGCAGTCTGACCTAAGAGCATGTAGTAGACTCTGGACTTGTTGGAATAAGACCTCAGGGCTCTTTCCGATTTTGTTTGCTAATAATTCATTTTTATTTTCTCACCTGGTATTCATTATTTGCGCTCCATAAACATGTTGTAGTGTTTAACTCGTGTATGAAGTAAATATATACCTGACCCCCGTTAATCCAGACGGTAGTTATTCGAACCAAAATCCTGATTAACAATTGTCCGGATACACGTGTGACTGTTATGGAGAAGTTCTACGTTGTATGCATGTTATCGTTTCAAACAGTGAAGGTGAGGTTTGCGAATTAACGTTGTCCTGTCTACAGAGGTTCATTCATATATTCTTTTTGATTATGATTTGGATATGTAGGAATATTATCTTTTGAAGAGTGGGGAAGACTTTTTCACATCAAGGTGTGATTTACACAACCAAATTACTTTCAGCTCCTTTTGAATTCCGGGTCTGAATTGACGAATGACGATCGGATGGTTTCAATGTCTGACTTAGCTGAGTGTAGGTCATTGGGACCCAGCTGTAGGATCATTGCTGAGGCAATGAATACCGGTTTGGCCTATTCGGACTCTATTGCATGCAGGTGGCCGAGATATAGCAGATATCTTAGCCTTACTCAGGGAGTGTAGGTTCGTTTTCCACATGGAACATCACCCTCAAAATTACCAGAATTTGAACTTTTCTTAGAAAGTGTTTGCCCAAATATATCATGTTGCATAGGAACACATTGTCTGTTCTTCGGCTGTGGGAGCCGGGTCAATTTACACGTATCAGGGGAGTACACAAAGTACGTGATCGGACCTTCATTGTCGTGGAAGTATCGGTGGCAGAGTGGGATAGATCGTTGGCTTTGGGTGCTGGCGATTAGGTGCCTGGCCCTAAGAGTATGGACTCAAATCGCATATGTGTTCGATTCCTGACATGGGTACAATGTGTGAAGCCCATTTCTGATGTCCCCTGCAGTGATATTGCTAGAATATTGCTAAAAGCGGCGTAAAACCAAACTCACTCACTCAGAGGAACGGAAAGGCATTGACATGATTGAGACCAAACGGCATGACGCGAGTTGACATCATGGTGTCCCGGAAGTAGGCAAATATGGCAGCCTGTTATAAATTGTTGCCCGCTGTTGTTCTTTGGGGAGCTGTTTGGATCTGCTGGTGATCATGAATGACACTTGTGACGATTAGATTTCGGCGGTTGGTACTTCTTAGACGTCAGTTGTAGAAGCTGGTGACCGTTACATCCTGGTGATGATGGGTTGTTACACACTCAGTTGCTGCTGTCGTGAAGCTCGAGATCCATTCAGCCTGGACATTTTACAATGCAACACACAATCTGAACATCAACAATTTGTCATTAAATATCATACCTACCCTTGGTGTGTTTCAGTGCAACCTCCAAGGTTGGGGTTCCGACGATGCAAACCGCCTCCGTGGTCTAATGGTACAGCGTCCGCCCGGAGAGCGCAAGGTCCGGGGTTCGAATCCCGGCCGCGTCATACCAAAAGACGTTTAAAGATGGTACTTGTTGTTATCCTGTCTGGCGCTCGGCATTAAGGGGCTAATGCAAGTACTGGTCGGCTCGGAGTCAGTATACCATGTCTGAGTGGGGTATTCATGTTAAACTGCGGCATGGTATCTCAGTGGGCTAGCACTATAAATCGGCATCAGTCCGGACAAGTGGACGCACGCGCACGCACGCACGCACGCACGCACGCACGCACGCACGCACGCACGCACGCACGCACGCACGCACGCACGCACGCACGCACGCACGCACGCACGCACGCACGCACGCACGCACGCACGCACGCACGCACGCACGCACGCACGCACGCACGCACGCACGCACGCACGCACGCACGCACGCACGCACGCACGCACGCACGCACGCACGCACGCACGCACGCACGCACGCACGCACGCACGCACGCACGCACGCACGCACGCACGCACGCACGCACGCACGCACGCACGCACGCACGCACGCACGCACGCACGCACGCACGCACGCACGCACGCACGCACGCACGCACGCACGCACGCACGCACGCACGCACGCACGCACGCACGCACGCACGCACGCACGCACGCACGCACGCACGCACGCACGCACGCACGCACGCACGCACGCACCATATGTCGCTATATAATTGCAATAATCTTGGACGCGACGTTAACTCCAATTTCACCTCACCGAATTGCGACTCGTGCCGCTCTCATGGCCATTTTTGCGACCGGGTTCCGTCTTAGCGCAAACGGGCATACATAAAACAATTGTCAACTCGTTGCCTAATGGTTCACATATATTTCCCCACATATTATATATATTTCAGATGCAATTTAAACCACATCTGGACATGTGGAATTATACAGTATGATTGAACACATTTAACTGTGTCTTGGGTGTACTTTTAGATGCAAGACATATGTAAAATAAAACAATATTTCTGAGGGATTCTTTGACGAACAACTTAAAATCATACGCACATTCTGATTGTTTTGTCGTATTTTCGCACAGAACATTCATCGCTAGGGGGACGAGTCTTCTTGCAGGTTACGGAAAGGGGCGAGTGGTGACGAACGTATAAGACATTGCTGGGGAGAGCACTTGTGTCACCATTGATTCGCAGTCATCCATACATATAATTGTCACCGCTGTTTCGCCCTTTACGCCCAATGAAATCTGTTTCGGCGGATAAACGAGGCCGGTTGTTCTCTGCGTTGGCGTAAAATATCTATAAAGGTGCACTCTGTTATAATTATATGACATTTTAAAGACTACTTGTTTCTGGGTAATACATATTTAATTGATTATTAATAAGTAAACATTCGTTCATAATGGATACACATACCGCGACGTCTTGCCATTCTCCCTACTCTTACCGGGAACACGGGTGCCCCAGTCATCCAAGGCGCCGCAATTCACTGTGCAGAGTTGCGTCCCTTGAGTACGCCAGAAACCTATGATTGTGGGTTCAAATCCGGTTCGGCCCCGTTATGTTTCTAGGTTTGTCAGCGCCATACCCGTGCTCGTGGGTTTGACCAAAGTGGTAAACGTCTGAGACCTGCATCACTTCGGGCTTTCCTCCCACATTCACCTGACACGCCGAGATATTAAAGGAATACTGTTAAAAGCGGCGTTAAACCTAACTCACTCACTCACTCACTCACTCCACCCTCTTCCCTGTCCCACTTGACAAGCAGTAGTGACAAATGTGATCAATACTCGAAAACTGTTTTCACACTCAGGGCTTGTCTCACAGCCAGGGTAATTGCGGACGATGTCAACAAGATATCCCAAGCGTTACACCGTGTAGCGATGTAATGACCGATCACTACAAGATGTCGGTCGATGGGCCTACGAGGACTGCAGAATGAAGTCTTTGATCTGTAGTATCGTCTAGTTATTGCTCTGTATTGATTAGAACGGAGGACTAGAACAAATACATGCATGACACGACATAACAGTTTATTGTTTTTGTTTGGGTTAATCATTCAATCAGCGAAGAAGCGACGATTCAATTGATTTCCATTTATTTACATGTAATGCACGGAATGAATATTAGTAACTCTGAGATTTGTTCACGAATGAATAGTCTTGGTAAATACTGATTGATTTAATAATGCGGGTATTTTTTTAACCACATTCACATTATGCGCTGCAGATTATATGGTTATTCGGATGGGCGTCGATTCTATTTGGTTCCATTAATGGCTGAATTTGGATAAGATGAAATAAACCATTTCATCCTCACGATGACGATATTGACAGAACATGAGTCCTTTCTGGATGTGGTATCTCCGTGTCCAGATCTGTGCGTCCTCCGTTCATCAAGCCACTATTCAGTCTTAACTGATGACTGGAGTCAGGAGTCAATAATGACTCTATTACCACCAAAGAGATAACACATTAGTTGATTGATAGGATTGTTGGATTGAACCTTCTCCTTGATCCTTGGATGCAAGTGTATAGAAGGCAGCTGCCACGGGGATCGGGGATTAACTGATGGTGTAGGGGACGGTGAAGGTGTAGGAGGACGGTGAGGGGGCGGGTGAAGGGGACGGTGAAGGTGTAGGAGGACAGTGAAGGCGTGGGGGGCGGTGAAGGTGTAGATGGCGGTGAATGTGTAGGAGGACGGTGAAGGTGTAGGAGGACGGTGAAGGCGTGGGGGGCGGTGAAGGTGTAGATGGCGGTGAATGTGTAGGAGGACGGTGAAGGTGTAGGAGGACGGTGAATGTGTAGGAGGACGGTGAAGATGATAGTGAAGGTTTTGGGGGACTGTGAAGGTGTAGGAGGACGGTGAAGGTGTAGATGACGATGAATGTATAGGGGGACGGTGAAGGTGTAGATGACGGTGAATGTGTAGGAGGACGGTGAAGGTATGGGAGGACGGTGTAGGTTAGGGGACGGTGAAGGTGTAGATGACGGTGAAGGTGTAGATGACGATGAATGTATAGGAAGACGGTGAAGGTGTAGGGGACGGTGTAGGAGGGCGGTGAAGGTGTAGGTGGACGGTGAAGGTGTAGATGATAGTGAAGGTTTTGGGGGACAGTGAAAGGTGTAGTTGACGGTGAAGGTGTAGAAGACGGTGAAGGTGTTGGGGACAATGAAGGTTTGGGGGACGGTAAAGGTGTAGGGGTACGGTGAAGGTGTAGGGGACAGTGAAGGTGTAGGTGGACGGTGAAGGTGTGGTGGACGTTGAAGGTATAGGTGGACGTTGAAGGTGTAGGTGGACGGTGAAGGTGTAGGTGGACGGTGAAGGTGTAGGTGGCCGATGAAGGTGTAGGAGGACGGTAAAGGTGTAGGGGACAGTGAAGGTGTAGGGGGACGGTGAAGGTGTAGGAGGACGGTGAAGGTGTAGGAGGACGGTAAAGGTGTAGGGGGACGGTGAAGGTGTAGGTGGACGGTGAAGGTGTAGGTGGAGGGTGAAGGTGTAGGGGTACGGTGAAGGTGTAGGGGACAGTGAAGGTGTAGGTGGACGGTGAAGGTGTGGTGGACGTTGAAGGTGTAGGAGGACGGTGAAGGTGTAAGAGGACGGTGAAGGTGTAGGAGGACGGTAAAGGTGTAGGGGACAGTGAAGGTGTAGGTGGACGGTGAAGATGTAGGTGGACGGTGAAGGTGTAGGAGGACGGTGAAGGTGTAGATGATATTGCATGTGTAGGGGACAGTGAAGGTGTAGCAGGACGGGGCAGATGCGGGGGTATTGTGAAGGTGTAGGTAACGGTGGCGGTGTAGAAGGATGGTGCAGGTGTAGGAGGGTGAAGGTGTAGGTGACGGTGACGGTGTAGAAAACGGTGAACTAGTAGGTGACGGTGAAAGTGTAGGACGGTGAAGGTGAAGGCGTAAAATGAAGGCGTTGGAGACAAATGAAGGTGTAAGGCGGTGCAAGTGTAGGTACGGTGAAGGTGTAGGAGGGCGGTGAAGGTGTAGATGGAATAGAACCAGGAAGGTCACTGTGTACAAGCAAGGTGAAGGTATTGGAGGACGATAAAGTTGCAGGAAGAGGATGACTGTTTGAGAAGGACGACGATGGCGATAATAGATGTGATGACGAAGGAGTGAGTGAGTGAGTTTAATTTTACGCGGCTTTTAGCAATATTCCAGCAATATCACGGCGGGGGACACCAGAAATGGGCTTCACACATTGTACCCATGTCGGGAATCGAACCCGGGTCTTCGGCGTGATGACGTAGGAGGGGGTGGGGATGGGGAAGAAGGTGCAGGTGCAGGAGGATAGTGAAGATGTAGGAGGACGTTGGAGCTGTAGGAGGATGATGGTGGAGATAGACATTCCGTTCGCAATACGTCTAATCATTTCAGAAATTTTGAGTGGCCGCCTCCGTGGTCTTGTGGTAGAGCGTCCGCCCGGAGAGCGGAAGGTCCGGGGTTCGATCCCCGGCCGCGTCATACCAAAAGACGTTAAAAGATGGTACTTCTTGTCACCCTGTCTGGCGCTCGGCATTGAGCGGCTAAAACAAGGACTGGTCGGCTCGGAGTCAGTATACTGTGTCTGAGTGGGGTATTCATGTTAAACTGCAGCATGGTATCTCAGTGAGCTAGCACTATAAATCGGCATCAGTCCGGACTAGTACAGGCAGCCACACACACACACACACACACGTGCATGCACGTCGCTATATAAGTGCAATAATCTTGGACGCGACGTTAAACCCAATTTCACCTCACCTCACCTCAGAAATTTTGACATTTTGATGCTTCATTAAATACAAATGAAAGCAACAAAAATACAGTTACCAAATACAGACGCATGAAACACATTTATAGTTGCTGTTACATTCTTTTATTTTTTTTGTAATTATTTTGTGTAAAAATAGAATACGTCCAGGATCAATCTCAAATCCATACAATGAAACTGTTCCAACATACTGACCACCGTTGTCTCGTTGGTGTTATGTTCGATACAACATGGACGAACAACTATTGATATCTCCGTGTCCACGTGTCTCCGTGTGAAGAACACCTTCCTCGGCACCCATAAATCAATGTCAAACAGGGAAAACATCAGGTGCTCGCAGGGTGAATGTTCTGCTCAGCCGGTAGCATCTGTCCTGTGTGACGGCCAAGGAAGGACACTCCAGAAATCTATGGCTTTCACAAAGGATGCGCTGGCAGAAAATAGCCAGATAATCCGTAACGACGTTGTCAGAGTGCACACATTGACTATTCCTTGACCATTGGTCAGTTGCCCAATGCAAACTGCCGGTCAACAGAAATAAAAAACTGTATTTGACAAAAAATTACATACGTTATCAGAAACCAGTCACTGAACCACTGCAAACCTAAGGCCCAAAACACAACTATGATACCTGTATCAAATATACCACTATCGAATAACCATTTCTTGTTTGTTTCATTTTAGCAACCATCAAACATCAATGTACACTTTCTATTATCCAGCAGTTTACTTCATGTCTATATGTTTCTAATAAGAATATAAAGACATATGCTGTATTTGTTCAACTACCGGGTACATAGAAAGCAAGGCAGGACTTTCCTTTGCCCTATATAACATGGACTATTGTCACAACGACTGAACCTATTGATTCGCTTATTGTTCCACGTCAGAGAATACAATTTCCTCTCTAGTCTGAATAATTAGCGATCATAGATGTAATTCACTCAATAACGAAAACTGGAAACTAAACCCTCATTTATGAGGTATTGACCATCAAAGGTTATTGTTTAGCACAATGTTCATGTTGCTACGGCCACAGTGGTATTGGCACGCTATGGAATTACGATATTATCAAAGCATTCCCAATAACCCTCAATTTGCAAAATACAGCAAATACATAGAGACGATATCGATTCTTGAAGCAATGGTGTCGTTCAACAGACTGCCAGCAACAAGGATCAATGGTAAACGTCAAAGCAAAGATTTTTCATATCTTGCACTGCCAAATATTTGTACTTTATTGACTGCGAATGAAGCAACTTATGATATTAATTAAAACATTGATGATTTAACTTGAAAAGTAACCTCAGAAGGCACACAGAGTTGTACGGAATGAGATCAAAGAAAATGTTACGTTTAAATGATTTAATATCTATGATCAATGTCATAATACACTCCTCTCATTACCCGTTGTGAGGAAATAATCAAATCGAAACAGAAATTAGTTAAGTATCTGGAATTCAACAGTGGTCCAGTGTCCATGCCACGAAGCAGTCAGCTCTTTGGCTTCACATGAAAATTAACTTACGTTTTTTGCATGCAGATGACCATCATACCAAATTTCATTATAATATCATTTGGACAATCATTTTATAGGTTTCGCGTATATTGTGCATTGCGATTCTATGGTGTGTGGAGTTGAATACTGCTTTTAACAGTGTTTCGGTTTTTATAATGGGAATTAAATCGGCAATTATATACCTATACGCCATGTAATTCCGTCAGGAACCCCTTAATTCTGGTCTGCTTTTCGGAATATTATTGCTGTGAATGTCTACAGAGAATTAAAAGGCCAGTACAACGTACATTGTACAGTGATTCCTCAGTCTGGTCAATTTCACTGGCAATGTATTGGATTAGAGGGGCTTCTGTGTAAACACCTTAACTAAAGTTAACTCAAGGCATACAGTGAATATACATACGTAGATCATATATACAGTGAGTGAGTGAGTCGGGTTTAACGCCGCTTTTAACAGTATTCCAGTTATATCGCGGCGTGTCAGCTTAATGTGGGAGGAAAGACCGAAGTGATGCAGGTCTCAGACGTTTACCACTTCGATGAAACCCACGAGCACGGGTATGGTGCTGACTAACGTAGAATTATAATCGGGGCGAACCGGGATTCGAACCCACAATCAAAGGTATGTGGCGTGCCCAAGGGACGCAACTCTGCACAGCGAATCGCGGCGCCTTAGCCGACTGGACCACCTGTGCCCCGTCAGATATACAGTGAATACTTTCTTTTCTTCTTCACGTCATTAAGTGCTTGTAGGCCACGGACCTTTTTGTACAATCAAAATACAATTTAGGTGCAAACACAACACACTTCTCTGATTTTGTGAAACAAAAACCGTTTAAACACAACTGCATATTATCAAAGTTGGAGTATTCGTGTTCTCACAGTACTGGCATGAGACAAGTACTTTGCGGTATTCGTAGGGATAATGGTGTCTTGCGATGACAGCAGTGTTTTAAACTTCAGAATATTTGAAAAGATTTATAAATTAGATTTTATGTAACTTTGCCTAACATGGCTATACGTTGCACAAATTAACAAAACGTGATATTCATTTTCAATATGGTTTAAGTTACACATTTTACATCAGCTAAATTCCTGAGGAATATTAAAATATCGCCAGTGCACGTCGCTTTATAAGTGCAATAATCTTGGACGCGACGTTAAACCGTTTCACCTCACCTCACCCCACCAAAGGCTGGAACTGCAGGAATATTGCTCGAAACACACGATATTCAAAAGGAATAGAAAGACAAAAATCATCACCCACATCACTCAACAAACATTATTATAAGCCTCAAAAGATTAAGTGTAGAATGCTCTATATCAGAATGGAGGCCATGTCCAAGGTTCAATGACTAGATTAAGATTGGTCGGTTCTCCATCTCTCCATCACCATCAACCGTCCAGAATGATGCTTTATTCCACCAGGAAAAGTCCATGCAAAGTAGACACAAAGAGATTGAGCGTTCCTCCCATAGGACATGGCGCACGGGTGCGCCACAGGAAGTTCTACTTCAGCAGAGGTCACGTGCTGGTCGCACTGCTATGAAATATACATTAGTGTTAATCCCCTCCAAGACGATTATCCTTGTGAGAAGGGATACCCCATCCACGTGTTCCCCAAATGCCTATATTAACGCCCCTATGGTTCTTCTCCCATCAATGTCACGCACAGGGGAGACTACATTGATATGAGATATATATATACCTTCATCAAGTACTGGGTTCTTGGTGCACACGTGACTCTTTGGTACTGATGATGGGGTCAATCATCAACGTGGGATGCATCGTCCGGTGGTTGATGAGGTTTGTATGTCCAATATGTAGTATGGATTCGACTCTGAAATTATGTGTAACTTTATGTGTATTTATTTATATAATGATCTATACTCATTCTTGAAACTTTTGACAAAGCTATTTTTCCTTTTACGCCAAATGAAATTTGTTTCGACTGATAATCGAGACTGGTTGTTCTTTGGCGTTGCCGTTATATTTTCATGGAAAGTGGGTTTGTAAACATTTTAAGGAGTTTGGGGCCCAAGTAGATTTGTTTCTGAATGCAAAGTTTTAAAACAATTTACATTTAGAAATACCCTATTCTACTTGGGTATAACTTTAATGTTCTTTTAGAGGCGGTCGGGTAGCCTAGTGGTTAAAACGTTCGCTCGTCACGCCGAATACCGGGGTTCGATTCCCGATATGGGTACAATGTGTGAAGCCCATTTTTGGTGTCCCCCGCCGTGATATTGCTGGAATATTGCTAAAAGCGGCGTAAAACCATACTCACTCATATATGCTCTTTTAAATCACATCAAGCTGGCGTTAAACCAAAGTATATATGAAATATATCATTTGATGTGTTCGAATAGTGAAATGAATTTTTACACAAGAAGATTAAACTGATAAGCAAAAGAAAGCAAGGCACCAAGTTTGCTTTTTTTATGTTATTGCAAATTGAAAGAACTGTTGCTGAAATTGATTATGTCTATTTAATAACCATCACTCATTCCTGCAACAGTTTCTAAAAAGTAATCTGTGGCCGGGTAATTTTGTGTAAAAATAGATTGATTCGATGAAGACTGTGGTAATAAATGAATTTGCAACAACATGACACCTACCACGTTTCAAATGCTGTAAATTTGTACCGACAAATGTTATTGAACATCAATGAAAGAATGAAGTGAGTAAGTGAGTGAGTAACGCCGCTTTTAACAGTATTCCAGTTATATCACGGCGTGTCAGCTTAATGTGGGAGGAAAGCCCGAAGTGATGCAGGTCTCAGACGTTTACCACTTCGGTGAAACCCACGAGCACGGATATGGTGCTGACAAACCTAGAAACATAATCGGGGCGAAACGGGATACCGACCCTTAATTATAGGTTTCTGGCGTGCCCAAGGGACGCAACTCTGCACAGCGAGCAAGGCGAATATAGCCGTCTACTTTCACCATCTCCTGCCTTGGGGGATATACGTGCAGCACTGGCCTTCTTCCTAATTATGTATTTAATTAATTACTAATAGGGCGGTGGGGTAGCCTAGTGGTTGAAGTGTTCGGTCGTCACGCCGAAGGCCCGGGTTCGCGTTCCCACATGGGCTATATGTGTGAAGCCCATTTCTGGGCAGGACATTCTTAACCTTTCCGCGAACACCTGGTGACATCAGTGATTTTCAGTTGTCCATCACATAATTTTCACAGCTGTTTTGCCCTTTACGTCCAACGGAATCGGATAATCCAGACTGGTTGTTCTCTTCCATTGACGTTTTATATTTACAAATGTCGTGGAGATGTGTGGCTTGCACCACTTATGGGTCTCCTCCCACATTAAACCCCAGACTCGATTATTTGCAGACCGCCGTCATATAGATGGAATATTGCAGAGTGCGGCGTAAAACCAACCAACCGACCCACATTAAACCCCAGACTCGATTATTTGCAGACCGCCTTCATATAGATGGAATATTGCAGAGTGCGGCGTAAAACCAACCAACCAA